AGCGCGACAAGTGGGAAAAGTTTGCGGCCCGCTGACAAGACCTGAACTTTTCCTTTGGAATGACATTTGCACCTGTCGCTCGTTCCCCTCGATCTGAGATGTACATACATCACTGTCAAGGGGAATTTATTTGTTGGTTTTCCGTCTAAATTTAGAATATTTCTCATGTGTAGCCCAAAATCAGCAGAGACACGCGAAATGTTTGGGAAATAAACATGCTAAAAATCGAAAATTCAATTTAAACGTCACATGGCCAGGCCCTGCCATCAAATCATAATTTTGCTTAAAGCGAATGACGACTCGATGGAGGGAAGGACGGGGACGGTTAATGAGGCAGAGACAAAGGCACAGAGAGCTTTGCTGATATTCTATGCAAGAAACGTGTCGGAAAATCTGGCAAATGTCAGACAGCTTGTCAAAGAGGGAGAAATCAGTGTGGAAGTATCCCATGAATGAACCAGCAGACGCAGCATTTTCCTCTCAATGAACGAGAAACGAAACCAAAATGCATCAAGGTTGTGTGTGGCAGTTTGCAAATGCCAGTTTTGGCCAAGACCAAACCAAAGCCACAGCCACTGTGCAGTGCAGTGCCAGCCAAAAGAAATTGTCAGCTGCCATTGATTGCGTTGCCATTGAATGGAAAGTATCTCTGTATCTCAGTTTCTCAAAGTGTGTGTGTTTGTGTGGTGTATGCGCCTTGAATGAGCCAAATTGCAGGCTGTCTAATAGAGCCACGAGATTTGGTCCAGATTGTTCGCCTGAGGGCTTCACAAAGCATCGAATTAAGGCAGTTTCATGTTTGCAGACCAGTGACAATTTTATATTGGAAATCAAGGGAAACTGTAATCCCTCATCAGCTGACAAATGTCATCTACCTCTGACGTTCGTTAATCAAGTACCAAAGAGTGATCTTTTATGGAATTCTTTATGGATTCATATTATTTATTTATTTATAGCTAGATTTTATCAAGTCCCATCGTCACTCATTGATGAATTTAATGAAGGGTGTTTAGCTGTAATCCAAGCATTCTCTTCGCTCTTACAAAATATTTATTTTCCATAAATTAATCAGTTGAAATTTCTTTTAGTTTCTCTATGGCATTTTCCATTCCACTTTGATCGAATTTCCAATTGTTTTGGGCCAAATGCAGCAGTCGATACTCCAATTTCAACATTTTTCATTTGTTCAAAATCCCGACAAAGGACACCAAATGGAGAGCAGGCAGTAGCAATAATGTGAGGCAAGGCACAAGCGAGATGAAAAAGAAACGCCGAATAATTGTATGAAATAAGAAAACGAGCCACTAAAGAGACTGACGGCAGCCGCAGCCCTGAGCCCTTGAGTGGAGCCCGTGGGGGTAGACTCTGGGGTGGGGCTGGCAGCTAAAGAATTAAACTAATATTTATCAAAGAGATGAGCGAGACGTGCTTCAAGCTAAACAAAAGACGACAGCGCATGCCGGCGCCAGTCGAGAGGAGAAATGAGGAATGGCAAAGCGACAGGCACAGGGACAGATGCATGAAGATGGTGAATGGTCTGAGGAGGATTCAGATGAACAGGATGAACTGTATGCTTGGATGCTGATCCATGCTAGCAGAACGAGATGCAACGTCATGGCTGGGTTTTAGGAAAGTGACGCTATCAAAATGCGGAATGAATAGACCTGCTTTTCGTGCTCTCTCTTGCCTTCAGAGCCGGCGGCTGTTGTCTGAGCACTGTGCGAGGTACGAGGTCCTCTGCAGAGTCTCGCGAAAGTTGGGCCAACTTTATGCTAATTAGCAGCTGCTAACCAGCGTTAAAACTTTGCACTTAACAAGCGCAGCAGGCAACCAGCCAGCCAGACATGTGTTCTTATGTTCTCCAACCTGGTCTTGGAGCAGGACTTACGGCCTCCTTGGGCCTCTTTTTCTTCACTTCGCAAATGAGATAAGTGCCGCATTTCGGACAGCTGGGCCCACACAATGGACTCAATGGATATCTGGGGGCAGTCTGCTTTTTCTCCTCCACTCTAATTTTGCAGTGCATTTTAAGCTGTCGCAGCTTTAGAGGCAGCTGCTTCTCTGCTTCTTCTCCTACAAATTGCTTTCACTACTCGAAAAAAATAGACCATTTATTAGCAGATATGTAAGGGTCTTTGTAGTGCATATATATGTCTGGGTAATTGCATTGAAATGGGAAAATAAAACGGCAATAAATATGCCCATTGTGTGTGTGAGTTGGGGTCTCGGGGTCTGGGGATCTGGGTCTCCAGCAAGTGCGATTTCGGTGCCAACAATGCGCGCCATAAATTAACTAAATTGAAAACCATTTTGGTGCAGATCCCCGCTTCTCACCCAGGGCCCCCCAACGTCCCTCCTCGTGAACACAGTTTCCATCAGGCACGAGCAACACTTTTATATTCATTACAGTTCATACAGAGAGCTTTCTCTCTCCCCTACCTCTCACCTTCTCTCTCTCCCTTTCCCTCTCTGTGGAGCAATGGAATATGGTGCACTATGCGTATAGCTAAAAGTACTGTCTCTATGCTATGGGGCAGCGAAGGGAACGGAATTGAACGTGAAGATACTTTTATGATTCATGAGCATTCGCTGTTTGTTCCTGTGGAGAATTGGCAAGTCAGTTCTGGTATGTTTTTCGGAGCACCATCCATAAAAAGAGTCGTTCTGCTGTGAGATTTGTATAGAACTCAGTATTGGATATTATAATCCAAGGGAAATAATTTATAAGCTAAGCTTTTCCCCATGAAAATAAGCAACTCTCAGCTCTTAGATTTCCGGTTAATATCCGTTAGTTTTACAGACTCTAAACTATGAAAATATATAACCATATTGATTGATTTAATACTCGATCCTCCCTATGCTGAAGAGCATTTATGCGTCCGCTCTTTAAAATTCTTCTGCATTTTCCTTCCGATTCTTTTTTTCCTCCTTGATGCGCTTTCCGCTGGCTGCGCACATAAATATGCAATAGAAACTTTTCTCACGTTTTTGATTGCAATCTTTTTTTGTGCAGCATCATAAATATTTAATGTTTACTTTCGGTCGAGCTTCATTTTTATTTCCCACTTATTTCCGGACAGACCTAGACCCGGACCCAGCAGCAGAAATCGCTGCACATTTATCCAGAAAATGCAGTTGACGGGGAGTGGTGTAGGAGTAGGGATGGAGGAGCCTTCTTGATTGCTTTTGGTACATAAAAAACTGCTACAAGGTGGCGTGCGGTGCCCCGTTTTAATGGCCTTATTAATATAAAGATGGATAAGTCATTGCTTGTGACCGAAAAACCACACGATGTACTTCATTAACTTAATTAAAAATCATGGCGACAGCACCGCAGCAGCACACATGAAGGGCACACAGAGGTTGCAAGTTGCAACAGATATCCTGCTCCTGCTCCTCATGTAAGTGCACAAACCGCAAAGCGAGTCAATTCCAGCTGAGTGCAAATAATGCGCTCGCTCTCACAGATCCAGGCTTGAGTCTTGCCACATTCATAACGGTGGCTGCCACACACGAAGCGCAAACTCAATTAAAAACTGTCGAGCTGTTGCCGCCACGCCGCATTTTCGCTAGCTGACTGAAGTTGATTATCTTCTATCCAGTGACACGCACACTCAACCGTGTGCATCAACCATTCTTTATTTATCTATCTCGCTTTTTTTTACTTTCTGTCTCTATTGCTCGTATTCGCTATCTCTTTATTCGCTGCCTTTGTCTTCACAGAACTGCTTAGCTCTGCTGCATTCTGATACCCTGGCGAAGGGTGCTTTTATCTTGTTCAGAAAAAAGAATTACCATTGCGGAACTTGCATGCTCCGGGCCTCGGCTCTTTCTTTTCGCTCTGTATCTCTGTACTTAACGCCGCATGTAAATCCAGTTGTTTTTTGCTCCCTTGTGTCGCAGCCTCCTGCAGCTGTTCACTTCTTTCATTTGGGTTTTCTACTTTACTGTTTTCTCTGCCTTTGCACTTAATGGGATTTTAAATTGAGTTTCATTTATAAATTAGCCGTCTTTCAGAGCCTTAAATGAACAGCAGCAATCACATATTTCGTAAACAGAAATGACCCTTCTATGAGAACTCAACGGTCTCAAATCTCTGTTGTGTGTTGTCTCCGTTCTCTTATTTCATTTCAAAGTTATCTCTAATGCCAAATTGAGCACCCAAAGTCACTGAGAATTGAGTGATTGAGGTTGTTGCTGTCTGTCTGGAGAAGCTGCTGCTGCACTTTCGGAATTTTAATGTTTTGTGTGTGCAACTGGGTGGCACTCAGCGCCATCTCCGTTCTAGTCTGCTGCACTGTGGTGTTCGACTGCAGCAAGGCCTGCCTACAATGTCTCAAATGCGGCTAAGCATGACGTTGATGAAGCGCATGCAACAGCTCAACCTAGTTGAGGGGGCATGTTGCAGGCTGTTGTTGCTGCCACCTAAATTTGTTGCTGACAATTTCTTGTTAGCGCTCGCTGTTCATGTTGCGGTTTCGCTCTTTCTGCGTGCGTGTGCTCAATGTGTGTGTTTGTGTTTGTGAGTCTGTCAGTGTTCTAGACAATAAATTTTCAATTTTCGAACTTGCCACAGAGAGCGTACATGTATGTGTGTGCGGGTACGGGTTCGGGGAATCCATTCAACGTTTCCGCCTGTTTAGCCACCGTTGAACGCAGCACAACATGGCGTATGATTGATGCCGTCTCAAGCAGACACACGAGGTGGCAGACAGTAGTAGGTGGGCTTATAATATTTACATTAAAAAAGAAAAAAGATGGACTTTCGAGCCGAACAGCTCGATGCCCTTACAGATGGAGAGTTTCCAACAATCTCTGCTCACATTACATAAGCAGAGCACCCTCTGTCAATGGTGTAGAGACACCTTGTGTAGTGTGAGGATTTCTATGCACTGTCTGGAGCTGTGATAGAGTGCCCCAGCCATAAGACCGACTCTCATTATGCGCTAAGGTTCTTTAATTACTTACACACACCTCATAACTTATCTCTTTCATTGCAGGCAAGGTGTTAAGGAGGTCTGAAGAGCCGTCTAAGCCGTTAAGAGAGATACTCGTACGAGAAGAAGGAGCAAGACGAATGGAGAAAGGGTGAGTAAATGAGAAAGGGAAATGAGAGCATGAGGGAAGTACAGGATTAACAGGAAATCAATTACCAGTGAAAGGTTACCCGACATCATGGTAGAAAGAATTTAATATCGACATTATTGCGAGGATATGAATGCACTCTCCAGGGCAGTCTCGACGCTGCCACGGGCTCGGAAAACAATTCAATTAGGAGACAAAGTTATCCGACAGAGATATAAAACGATTTTATGACTCACTCTCAGAATCATGGCCAAGAAGGAATTCCCCTAAAGCTGAAGCAGAATCTGACTCTGATGCTGACGTTGACGCTGGCTAGCAATCTCATAAAAGTCAGGACAAGGATATTGAGTGGAAAATTGTTGGAGGCCAGAACTGCAATGCACTTTGTAGCCGGAGCTGCTACAGATTGCATTAGATTAAAGCAGCAACATAGGAAGGATGCATAAATTCCCCTGAATCTGAGCTACAATCAAATCAATTGAAACGTTGTGAGTTCTTAAACTGATCGAAATGAGGAACTATGTAACAAAAAGATAAAAACCGACCAAGTTGGCTATTGGCCAATAATTAGCGGGGCCAAAGAGTAATATGAGTCGGCCTGCTGCCGCACAATGGGACTCAGGATTGACAAAAGACCGGGGGACAAAGGCTCTTTTTTGACTGGAATGTTTCCGTGAATAAATGTGAAATGGTACGTTTTTATGATGATGTCACAGCACGGAAGAGAAATAATTTTAAAACCCAATAAATCGCGCAGACAAACACAAAGCAACAAAATGAGCTATAAAATGGGAGAGACAACGCCAGCAAATGTTTGACTTGACAAAACGAACATTTATGTGGCATACAAATATCGGAGAAAGAACGAAACGAACATAAATTCCTTGGGTCTCCTGGCCCAGCGAATCATCGGCTTTTTCCCCCCAAAACGGAGAGAAGACCAACCATAAATAATCAAATGAAAATAACAAAAGACGCAAACAAAATATGTAAATGTTTGCTCCTGTCGACTGGAAATGGCAAAAGCAAAGCGTACATATTTTCAGGGCGGAGCAATTTATGGAAAACTCAATGCTTTATTACATCACACACGCACAGGCGAGCAAATTCGTGTACCTTATATATGTATATACGAAACGTTTGTACATGTGTATATGCAAATAATATCACTCATACGCCCACGTGAACTTTAAATGCAAAGGCATTATCAAAAACGAAACACCAGTGAGAATGTCAGGCCAGAAATAACATCATGATGGGGTATACGTGTAAGAGGAATGGAGGAAGAGGGTCTCCAAAGATAAGCAAATTCCTTTACTCTCTCTCTCTCTCTCTGTCTGTCTCATTTCTACACATGTTTTGTGAACAAATTTTATTATGCACACAAATAAACAAACACACACTGGAACACACCCATCAGGCTTTCTGTAACGCGTACATATGGCAGCCATTTTCATGAACGGAACTGCTGTGTTACAAAACACTGAAAAACAAAATTTATGTCAAATACTAAACACTTTTGTGGCCCACTGATGAGGGATGTGATGAACTTGACCTTGACAAACACACCTTATGCATATAGAAATTAATGGAATAGCATTGGCAATTCCATAATTCAAAACAGGGAGAGGCTCTTACAGAGTACGCATCCTCTAGCCCCACACTTTGTTGGACAGTGTAAGCGCGCAGGCATAAATATATGATTCGAAATCAACGCATTCATTATTTACAACCATGCCAACGCTCCACACAACGTAAGCGAAAAAAAAAGGGAAAAGGGAAAAGTGTAAGGGAATGTAAACCAGGAGCAGCTTGACAAATAAACATCAAGTGCGCAAGAATCTGGTGCTGGGTATGGTGATGGTGCTACCCTCTGCCACATATTCGACAGCTCTGCTGCTGCTGATGCTTGCCCCAGCCACAAGCCAAGCTGCCAGCCAGCCTGCCCCGAAAGGGACGCCAATGTCGACAGCGGCAATTTAAAATTGCTGGCTTTTTAACTCGCATCCATTTACAGCAATTTGGTGAGCTCTCGAGGCGTGTGTCAGACAGAGTGTCCCGCCGTCCCCCGTGTGATGTGTCAGGTTGAAATTACATGAGGCACTTGGAACATGGAGCAAATGCTCCGACAACGGAGGACGAAGGATGGCATAAATAAGGAGGAGGATTGAAAGCAAAGCCGTCATGAGAAATCAAATTTTATGACTTTGTAATTGAAATTCGCTTTGTGGACGAGCATATTAAATGAGTTACGCATACGAAATCCATGGACAACACAGATTACCCAAACCACACTCCACTTTGCTCTTTTATGAAAATTTTTGAATGTTTGAAGAAGAAACCAATATCCCTGGAGAGTCTGACATTCGATACACATACAAAGGAAACGTTTTATCTACGCTCTCCAAAGGCTCTTAACATCAAAGAAAACAAGTGGCACCTCTAGATTGTAAGATTGTACTCGTTGCGGGTATCTCATTATGCAGCCACCCGACTGCACCCGACGGCTTTTATTTTCATGGATTTATTATATAATATATGTATGCAGTCCCCATCTGAATCCCTCACTGAGTGACTTGTTTCGTGACTTTCGAGACTCAGCCGCAAATCTGCTCAGCTTTAAAAATTCTGTCTGCTTAAAAAGACCAAAAGAAAGAAAAGATTAAGTGCCAACCCAAACCACGGCAAAGAAGTGGCAGAATGCGAGAGGGTCGGAGGAGCAGCCGGTCCTCAGCAGACCATAAACTGCAACAATCAACTGCATTGGATGTCAGCCCACCCCACTCGAGTGGCTGCAGCTGTTATGCTGGGGTGCCTGAAACAATTGTTGGGGATATCTGAATCTAGGAAATTAAGTTTACGCTCGCTGATTTTAAAAAGCACTTTATTCTTGGGGGAGAAGAAAAACTTGGGGATTTGCAAGCGTCAGCGCAGCCATAAAATATATTTTGTGTTAACTGAAAGGAAACCCATGAATTGGCCCGGTGACTCCTCCTTTCTGCAGAACTTAATAATGCAGAAGGAAAATGGAAATCCGTGCTCATTCCGCCGCAGTAAATAGTTTACAAGAGCAGTCGGAAATCAGGACACTCCGCATCAGGCACCGCATCTGCAAAATAGTTTTCCCCACAAATTTCAGAATCCAACTAAAATTATACTTGTTTTGTAACTATACTTGTTTCCCAGGACAAGAAATTGGGGTCCTTGCAGCCCGTCCTGTCATCGGCGTCGAGCGACTGCGGCAAACCTCAAGACGCTGCCGCAGAAGGGCTGGGTTGGGCTGCTGGCAAGGAAAAGCCAGGCCAGGCAGTAAAATTGCCAAGTATTTGAAAAGTTGTGCGCTGCGGGCTTGGAAACGTATTAGGAATGTCAAATAGTGTGGCAGACGTGCGGTGGCAATCAAAAGACGAGCCAGGTGAATTTTGTGGGAAAAAAAAAACCAAAAGAGAGTCTGTCACACAGGAGCTGGTACATTAATATTAAATCCTATGAATATTTAGGCCCCTGTCAGCTTTGGCAATAACACAAACGACCAGCAGCGAAATTAGGGGGAATTTTAAGCTCTATTCCAGCATCTTTCCCCCCGAACAATTCATAATTAAATTACATTATTTATGTGCTGTTGCCGGGAGAATTCATCCGAACGTTAGTCCGACTTGGCAACTGTCCCCCGAAGCTTAAAGCGGCTTACGATTTGTTATTTGCTGACCAAATAGTTGGCCAACTCTCGGGAAGAGGCCATGTCCATGGCAGACCCTCCCCGCCAGGGACAGCCTGCTGTCCGCTTGATTAGCATAATTAACACTGGTCTCCAATTCCCACCCAGTTGAGTGCACACTCACAAAATGCAGCCATTCGAATGCAAAATCAACATACAATTTTCCCACCAGAGATGAAAATTTTCAAATATCGTTGCACTCGAACTAGAATTAAAACAATAATGGGCAGCCCGCAATATTGTTCAGAGTTTGGTAATTATTATGCCATCCTGTTATCCGATATCCAACCAATTTTCGTTGGCATGTTTCTCTATGACTTTCTGCGGTTGATATTGATGCTGTCACGGATGAGCTGTGATATAAACATTAATGCAAAAATTAGATTCAATTTATCACAGGATAAACATAAACTTTGTATTTATCACATTAGGGGAATTAATTTACTCTGCATTTTTTAGAGTCTTTTATCATAGATAACCCAATCCTATACATTTTAGAATGTCGCTACTCGTAGAATAGTTATTTAATGATGCAAATCCCACTTTTAATTCTTTTGTTTCCAAATTCACTTAAAAACTTGACTCTGCCAAAGAGGGTCACACCTGCAGCACAGGTGTGGCATCGTCTGGCCGTCTAGACACTTGCTATCCCTCCTACTCCGCTCAATTGCCACCCAGCCACATTCAATAAATTCTAAAACCGAGACACACGAGAGAGCGGAGCCCGAAAGCCAAGGTAAATTATTTTTTAAAGCCAGTCCTCGATTGCGGTGCCAGCTTGAGCTCCCCCCCCCCCCGGGTTCGACGACCGTTATGCAGAGACTCAAAAGGAATTCAATTAGGAGAGAAATTTATAAATTCGTTCTCGTACTTTGGTTCGCGGTTCTACTACGAATTCATCTACTTCTAGGACTGCTGACCGCAAGGGAAGAGGAGGAGGAAGAGGATGCGGAGTGGGAGCAGCAGCGAAAAAGAAATAAATAAAATTGCGAAACGGAAGCTGCCAACAAAAATGGCTACAACAATGAACGGGAGACGCTGCCTTTTAGCTGCTGCCCTTTTGTTTATTTGTTTCGCATTTTCAAGAGCGTCAAGTGCTCGTGGGCATGGGCGTGGGTGTGGGTGTGGGCTGCGGTTTTTAAGGGCATGGCAACCACCCGACGATTCAATAATCAAAAGAAGTATAAAAATTAATACAAAGGGACGCCAGTGTGGAGCCCAGAGCCGCAAGGATGACTCGTGGAAAATGAGGAAAATGCTTAGCAAGTACACAAACCATGCGAAAATGGCTGTTGGGCCATGAAAACGTTCGCGGTTGTGTTTCGCTTCTGTTTCTCTCTGTCTCTTTATTTATTTTCAGCTTTCTTTCTTTGTTTCATTGTTTAAAAATGGTTTCCTGGAAATTGTAGCAACTGTGACCATCATTAGAAGCGACATGTGGGTGGGTACGAGAAGGGGAAGCCTTCGAGCTGCGACTGAGACTGATTTTTGTTGTGTGAATTTAAATTGAGAATTTAATACCGACCTGTTTGCACTCCATAAATACCAGAAAGTAATATTCTTTTCGCTTCTTTTACTCTTTGCAGCCAGTCGACAATCATTGGACAGATCCACCCATAAATACCAACCACAAACAGCCACTCTGTAGATTATCCGGTATAGATATAGTGGAGCAATACCCATAAAAGTCAATGTGCTGGTCGACATCAAGCGAAATCATTTAATAGGCAGCCGGCAGCTACGTTTTTATCAAGCATACGCCGCGTTTTCCAGCAAAAAGAGGAGAAGGAGGATGGTGCCCTGCCCTGCCCTGTCCCACATAAATTTGTAATCAAGCGACACAAAGGCCAAACGCCAAACGCCAGACGCCAGAGGCGAAGCTCCACGAGAAGCCCTGGAAGCTGGGAGCTGGAGAGAAACTAATAAGACGACTTATTCTTATTGAAATTATGATTAATGACGGGAATATTGTACAACAACAGCGAAGGGTAAATCAAGGCATTGTGCGGCACTAGGGGTGCTACGCGATGATGAACACAATGATGAACACAATGATCCAGATGATGATGATGAGCAGCAGCAGCCGCAACAGCAGTTTAGTGCTGTGTAGACATCACCTTCTCACGAATTGAAACCGCAATTCTGGAACACAGAGAACACCGTTTGATGGCTTCGTCCGCGGCGGAGTACGTTGCAGCAGCAGCGGCAGCCCGACGGCGACGCCATCAGAGCAACCACCGCACCAAACTGATCTCCACCGCCACACTGACGCTGCTGATACTCTTTCTCAGCAGTTGGGTGGCCTATGCAGCGGCCAAAGCGGCCAAAGCGGCCACCACGGCCACCCCGAGGCTCGAGGAGAGCGGCGCGGAACCGGAGTCAGTCACGGACTTCAACAGCAGCAGCGCCTTCCTGGGTGCCGTGGCAGCCGCTTCGCCATCGGCAGCTTCGGCGGCTGCCTTCACCGCCACCACAGCGCTGCCATATCCATACTCCGCGTCGCTCAACAGCAGCCCCGTGGCAATCATAAGCTATCAGGGGATAACCAGCAGCATTACGGACAGCAACACCACTCTGGGGCCGCTCTCGGACACCCCGTTGTTGATTGAGGAGTTTGCTGCCGGGGAGTTTGTCCTGCCACCGCTACAGTCCATCTTCGTAAGCCTCGTCCTACTCATTGTCATCCTGGGCACCGTGGTGGGCAATGTCCTCGTCTGCATAGCCGTGTGCATGGTGCGGAAGCTGAGGCGGCCCTGCAACTACCTGCTCGTCTCCCTGGCCCTCTCCGACCTGTGCGTGGCTCTGCTGGTGATGCCGATGGCCCTGCTTTACGAGGTGCTGGAGAAGTGGAACTTTGGTCCGCTGCTCTGCGACATCTGGGTGTCCTTCGACGTTCTCTGCTGCACCGCCTCAATCCTTAACCTGTGCGCCATCTCCGTGGACCGCTATCTGGCCATCACCAAGCCTCTGGAGTATGGCGTGAAGCGAACGCCCCGCCGTATGATGCTCTGCGTGATGGTTGTGTGGCTGGCTGCCGCTTGCATCTCGCTGCCACCGCTGCTGATCCTGGGCAACGAGCACGAGGATGAGGATGGAATGCCTATATGCACGGTGTGCCAGAACTTCGCATATCAGATATATGCCACGCTGGGCTCCTTCTACATCCCGCTGTCCGTGATGCTGTTCGTCTACTACCAGATCTTCAGGGCTGCCCGCCGCATCGTGCTGGAGGAGAAGCGAGCCCAGACCCATCTCCAGAAGGCGCTCAACGGCAAGGGCTCGCCCACGGCCGCCGATCCGCCGCTGGGACACACGGAGCTGGTCAGCGGCAATGGACAACGGCACAGCAGCGTGGGCAACACCTCCCTCACATACTCCACCTGTGGGGGACTCAGTAGTGGCGGCGGCGCCATCAGTGGCGGACCGTCGGGCGGACATCACGGCGGCCACCATGGCAGCGGTGGCGGTGCGAGCGGTTCTACCGGACTCCTGGGGTCGCCGCACCACAAAAAGCTCCGCTTTCAGCTGGCGAAGGAGAAGAAGGCCTCCACTACGCTGGGCATCATTATGTCGGCCTTCACCGTCTGCTGGCTGCCCTTCTTCATACTGGCTCTCATCCGGCCCTTCGAGACGATGCACGTGCCGCCCTCGCTCTCCTCCCTGTTCCTGTGGCTGGGCTATGCCAACTCCTTGCTGAACCCCATCATCTATGCCACCCTCAACCGCGACTTCCGCAAGCCCTTCCAGGAGATTCTCTACTTCCGCTGCTCCAGCCTGAACACGATGATGCGGGAGAACTACTATCAGGATCAGTACGGAGAGCCGCCCTCGCAGCGTGTGATGTTGGGGGATGAGCGTCACGGAGCCAGAGAGAGTTTTCTATAAGCGATGATTACATTTAGGACGATGAATGCGTTGACATCTTTGCTCACTAGCTCACTCAAACACAAACACACACACTAACGTATATAAGAAGAGTATTTGTATGTAGTAGTGTTAGTAGTGCACCGACCCCCCTCGCCATGCATATGAGTATGTATGTATTTAGGTGCGATATACATATGTAGACGACTCCTCTAAAAACGTAAATCGTTGTTGTAATTTTAAAAAGGTAGAACTATAAGTATCCACACGTACACATACACACGGTTGTAACTGTGACAGGTTTCTACGGTTCCTTTTATGTTTCGAAAACAATCAGCACCGGAAATAAGCCACAATCGTTATCGAATCTACTGATATCCTATCTGCCCTAGCGCACCTATGTGGTTATCCCCTAGCCAGCCCTGCTCCACTCCCCTCCCCAATAGTTAGTTGATTTTGCAAGAGCGAGATACTCAAAACAGAGCCAAAAATTAACCTAATTAATAATCTAGATACGTATTAGCCCTACTATAATTAATATTACAATTATGTTCCGTGCAAGAAGCTATCCTCTGTAAATACGGTTCAATGGCTCTGTCTATATATTATACACATAAACGATATAAAGTATATTTAAGAGTGCAAGGTCGCGGCTCGGGCTCAAGGGAGAACAACTACTATAATATTGTATTTTGTAACTTTCTTCATTAGTCCTTCGTTGTATGTATTTTGTATGAAAAAGTCACGCCTCTCTGTGATACCAAACATTAAGCATTACTTTTATGTTTAGATTGAATCGAAGCTGCATCAGACGGAACGGAAAGCACACACGCAACACCTACTTATACAAAAGCATCTAGATATAGTCTACTAAGTGTGCATGTTTTTATTGTATGTAAATGTATATGTATATGTATATGTAATGATAATGATATTCACATGAAACCAAACCAAACATAAGCAAGCGAGAGATAAACTATCAAACCTATTTACATACCACACCCACGACCCACACCACGCCACACACCACTCATGAGAAGAAACCATGACAAAACTAAGCTAAAGCCTAGCTAATATTACGAGTAAGAGCACGAGTACGCAACAGCCAAGTGCTAGAGTTCTCTATGAAAACAAACATCAAATATGATAGTAACTATAACAAAACAAAAAACATAAAACAAAACAAAACACTTTCCGAGTGAAGCTTACCAAAAACAAACTGCAGAACTGCATTTGAATACTGTTTTTCCAACGAGTGCAGTGCGGAAGTTAATGCATCAAATAAAAGGCAAACCGTATAAATGTAATTTAAACAAGTCTCTAGTTTGTTCTTTTCTTTTCTATATTAATTGCAATGGTCATTCTCGCTCTGAAGAAAGTGGCACCTTCGTCAGTTTATTTTGCAGTAAAGTGCTTCCAGCGTTCAGTTGATAATTGCGACTACGGGATACCTGGTAATCAATTGAAAAATAATTACAGCATTACCTATTGAGGATAGCTGTCAGTGCATTGCAACTTGTTCATGTCAAGTCTTTTGCTCGCTCTGCTATGAGCTTTGGGCTTCCCTTTAACCAACACACCCTAGGATATGCCGCAGTCCAATTACTGGGTCTTCAAGTTACTCTAAATTGTACCCTTTGTTAGTGAGTTTTCTTTCTAAGAAACTGACGTTTATTGAAGCCGCGACAAAGTGCCACCAGCCAGCCAGGGTGTTTCAATAGCATCTCAGTATCCCATAGAATTTGAGCCAAAAAGTGTGCAATGGAAATTAAATTCTATGCCAGAATTCATAAAAAACGACAGCAGAGAAGAAGAATTGAATTCAAATTCAACAAGAGCGAAATGCGAAATGCGAAATGCGCAGTGTGCAATGAGAAATAGAAAATGGAAAATATAAAATGGGAAAATGCGACGCGAAGTGCAGCAGCTGGCGGCAGTAGGTAATGCTGGCGAATGTCAACCCAATGGGATATTTAGCTTGGCTGCAAGTGGCTTTAACCCGGACACAAAAAGGCTACGGCGGAGGCAGAGGCAGACTCTTATTCTTCCATTCGAGTGTATTTTGCTCATTGAAAGTGACAAGTTGGGCAAACGTGCAGAATGCACGTTCCGGGTACGGAAGCTAAAGCGAAAGCTGGCGCCAACATGGCGAAAATATCAAAAGGCAAACAGAGAACTAACAAACATCTGTGGCGGATGGAGGATTGAGGATGGAGCAGCCATAGCCCCATGCAAATATCTGCACATTTCACTATTTTTCTTTGGTGGGGGCACAGAATAGACATAAACAAGGCGAATGCTTCGTAGCAAAAGATCTAGGCGGGTAGCCACTTTTCGCAGAGATTCCAGGATGTAGGGAAAAGCTCTTGAAAAAGGGTATGACAATGACAAAGTGATGTGGATCCGACGGCGCCAGCAGCTGCAGGACCAGCTTCAAGCTGCGAGAGCCTCGTGCTCCAAGCAACGAGCTCCTCCTGGCTGCCTGCTGATAAATGATGATTTTACGCCCGTACATGCGGGGATGCCACTTTATGAGCTCCGGCAGCCAGCCAAAAAAAAAAACATACCAAGCACAAGGACACCACGCCTTCCACTCACCCACTCATCCACGGATGCAGGATGTGGGATGTGGACTCCGGGATGTGGGATGCGAATTGTGAAGGAGGATGGATGCCTGTTTCAGTTAAGCGGATTTTTGCATTCAAATTCCGAGAAAATGAAGAAAAGCTGACGATTGCAAAACAAAACTATTGCAGCTCGCACGAGGGGTGAAAATTCTGTTCTGCAGTTTTATGAGCACTTTTTTCTATTAGTGTTTTTCGTGACACTAATGCGACGTTTATGAAACAACGGGAAGCGTTGCAAGGGCTGCAGCTGGCTGTCAGGGGCAGAATCCGTTTTTTAGAAAAATATACGTACATACGTAAATGTCTGTAGTTGTCGGGCCCATAGCCATGAAGTGTTAACAAGCATGTGCCATATAAATCAACAAAGAAAGAGGAGGGGTAGGGGATGAGGATGGGTATGGCAGAAATGAGACAGCGGACAGGACCCTTTTCTGGACAGTCACACTGAAAATTGGGAAAGTCTGAAAAACAATAAAAACAAATGGCAGAGTGCCAGAGTGCCACCAGAGTGCGGCACGTAACAAAAAACCCCCAATTGAGCTCAATTTCCTGTGAGTGGCACTCTCCTCTCGTCTCCAGTTCCGGGAGTGTAGGCGGCCGCTAAAGTGACTACTTACGGGCAGCTAGATTTGTCCGATAAGGCAATCGAAAATCGAAAATCAATATCCCGTCCCGTCCCACGCATCAAAAGAGTCAAATGTCAATGCTGTAAGGTAATAAGACAAATTTCGAAATGTATTTGCCAGAGCCGAGACTAAACGAAACAGAAATAAGCTCAAATTTCAGCTATAAAAGTGAAGACCGTCCACAAATGGCTACCAGATGGAGGAGGGAATCTTCCTCATAGAGGGATGTTAAATTTAATAAATATCCAAGTAGCATCTCGGGAGGAGTGCAATTTAATATTTTGTGCGAGTATTCAATGACTCAAACCTAATCAAGTTAGTGTTGATGTTTTGTTAAAGTTCTTCACCGCAGAAACACTCACAATTTTTGAACATCCATGGCACACACAGATTTTACGTGTCCATCGGATACGAGTATTCCACGTACACACATTTGCAAATTGTGGGAATGTTTTCCAAACAAATTATGTAAATTATTTCAAGCGCTAACAACTTCATTCAACATGCCGCGATAGGCATCTGCTCTGCTCTGCAGCTCAGAGACCCATTTTGCCTCTCACTCTGACTCTGCCTTTGCACTCTTTCATTGTTGTAATTGTGGAAAATGTTTTATTAAATGCCCTCCTACCGGCTGGACCGAGCACGACCGGTGTCACGTCACCGTCACCCTCACCCTCACCCAGCCCAGCCCATTCGAAAGTGAAGAAAGTGCGGGAAAAGTGAGCAGAAATTTCTGCGAATTTGTACAAAATTAAGTTGATTAAATGGACTTAGCAGCGCGATTACACGCAAGGCTGCTCGGGTCCTTAAGCACTCGCTCTACCGTGCCCTGCCCTGCCCTGCCATGCCCTGCGTGCGGCCCTACATTTTACTTGGACCGCTTTTGGGCTTGTCGTAGAACATTTTTCATTCTTTCGTCTAATTCATTGCCGTTGCTGATTCGGCTGCCATCCATTGACAGGAGGCGAGGGACGGAAGCAATGCGGCGAAACTTTGACCATCGAAATCTGGGGCAAAGTCCCGTGGGAGCAGTCGACTTTGGCTTCGTTAAATGTCGCATGATTAACGCTTTGCTCTAGAAGACAATTGATAAAGAATGGAGCGGAAGGGCCAGGCCAGGAAAGGGCAGGATTTGGCACAGAGACAGGGACAGGGACAGGCTCCCAAGATGCTTTAAGCCGTGTCGGGCTGCACACAATGGACACTGGACAATGCAATGCTTTCCCTAGTGTAACAAGAGCAAAGAAAAGCTTTTTGGAAAACTCATTGCTCAACTTAATAGAGGGATAGGAATTCAAGGATTCCTGTAAGTGTGCATTAGTTTCCCATTTCTCCTGAGCATTCAGCATTCGTCTGGGCTGTGTCTGCGCTTTATGTTCGAACTCCTTCCTTCCCACCTTCCCACCATCCTTGCTTTCCGTCTTGACAATTAAGGTCTGTGGGGCTGCCATAGAAAAGCGAAGCATTTAATGCAGGAATCACTTTGCTGTGGCTCGTTGTGGCTAGCGTGGGTGTTCCTTTTGTTTTTTGTGTGTGAGCTCTGGTCGAAAAAACAAAACAGAAATTGCGAACAGAGCGAAAAAAGCGAAAAAAAAAGGAAAAAGCACGCTGCGATGGCTGCTGCAAGCATTCGAAATGATTAATGTGCCGGATCCGTCCTGCACGGAACAGGAACAGGAACAGAGCAGGAGGAGCATTAATGGGCGGTCAGTGAGGCGTTCCCTCCGACAGCTAGTGGCTTCATTTTGTTTTCCCTGTCCTTGTACCAGCGGATGTCTGCCCCCCCGTTCATGTCTTCACGTACACTCTAAAAAATGCGAACAAAAGATTGCAGCACGTTTTGGCTGAAAAATCCCGTTCCCTTTGGCAATCAGCGGCTGGCCCATAAATTAACTCGGCGCACACCACGCGGCATATGATTAATATTTAGTATTACACAATCTAATGGAGGACTCGTGAGCAATTTCCAGTGGATGCCGGGGATGCGATCTTAATTTCGGTGCCTGCCCCGCTTAAATCTTTATTAATATGCCAGGAGTCCGTCCGGATGAAAAATGATTTCCATTACCATTAGCGGCTTCACATTTTCCCGCTTGTCTCGCACGGCCACGGCACAACTGCATTGATTTGGCGTCCGTAGGGTCCATGGAGTCCGTGGAGTGCAGACAGCTCTGGCCACAAGCCATTTATGTTAATGATTTGCGCGAATTGGCAGTGGAATCCGGCGAAATTGACGCCTATCTAGTGGTGTGGGGGAGGAGGAAAAGAAACAGAGGAGGAGGAGGAGGAGGCGTAGCATGTACCATCAATTGCAGACAAATTTATGTAGATTTCCCGTCAGATTGAGGGTTGGTAAGATATGTTCAGAGGAGTCCCATACTGATATAAATCAGCGACAGTTATAAGTTATTTATTTGGACAAGTCCTCTTTGAGTTTTGAATAGGAAACTCAATAGAATCGCTTAATGCGAAATACTTCAATTTGTATATTGTATTGTTTCCATTGTTTCCTCTAGAGATTGTGTAGATTCTGAAATATTTGTATTCATTTAATAATTGCGAGCTAACGCAAGTGACGACATTATGAGTCCAAGGCATAACCACGGTGGAGAGGACTATTTTCAGGATGACGACGTCACGATACGTTCTTACCATGATCTCGGTCACTCGTTGACTGGCCGCAACGATGGCAATCATGGCGACATGTCCATGGTCTTCCACGGTGGCTATACGGAGACTATCCTGTTCGAGTTCTGGCGCTGCGACACACGGCTGGCGTTGGCCGTCTCCTGCCTGTGTATCTTCATGGTGGCCATTCTCTACGAGGCGCTCAAGTACTTCCGCGAATATCTGTTTCGAAGGCGCAGACGGAGGTTAGAGGGGGGCCGCGATAACTACAATCCTCCCCGTTACCGTCATTCCAATTACTACGACTACTATGCGCAGCGGCAGCCACAGCGCCATCCACAGCGCCATCCACAGATACAGATACAGCCTCAGCCACAGATACAGCTACAGCCACAGCCAAGGATCCAGGACATTCAGGCATATGTGTATCGACCTCCTCCAGTGCGCCGATCATCGCCGGCTCCATCGACGGCACCACCGCCCACAAACCTATCGGATGGTGAGCCCATGACCACATTGGACGACCGGGCCACGTCCTCATCAAGTGATCAAACCGTACAGATATCTGTCGCTAACTCTGCGACAACATCGGACGCTCAAGCAATGTCTGCATCGAGCACCCAAAACCCGTGGGCCACATCGGGGTCTGGGGCCTGGCCGCGGATCGGAGTATCAGGTAACCCCAGAATGGGTGGCCAAGCAATGTCCACATCGAGCGCCCAAGGAGTATCGGCATCAAACGCTCATTCGCACGTTCATCCACCCGGTCCGCCAGGACCAACCCGCCTCCTGCCCGCCGTTGAGAACCAGGAGCCGAGCAGGCCCCTCACGTGCGATTTGTACCTCTCACCGCTGCACATTGCCCAGACCTTTCTGCACATGCTGCAGGTGCTGATCTCCTTCCTGCTGATGCTCGTCTTCATGAGCTTTAATGTGTGGCTCTGTGCCGCCGTGCTGGTTGGCGCGGGAGTTGGCTACTTCCTCTTCTTCCCCCTGAGCAACAATGTTCAGGAGCACTGCAACTGAGGCGAGTCCTGAGCACAGAGAGTCCATGTTCCATGTCTTGGCTAATGCGCATGCTAATGTATTTTTCTAATTAAAGCAAGTTGTTAAAATCCTAACGGCTGGACGGTTCCTCTCTCTCTCTGCTCCGCCTAATTGTTAATGTTTATGGCTCGTAAAACAATGGATGCAGCAGTGTCTTCCAAATTGCCGGGCAGCCTCGGCCTGGACCTGGCCCAACTAGGCGTATGGCTAATGCCTGGCCAGAGGGGTCTGTGAATGTGTGGTGTGAGTGGGAGGACAGCCAGCCAGGAGGCGTAACGCTCACAATTTTTATGCGTTATTCTTGGATATTTTTGTATCTACCGCACGACTTTACGAGGGCACCCCCCACTCTGATCTGTGTGTGGTCTGCAGGTGAGCGCCAAGGATGACAGGGAGGATGCTGGGGGATGTCGATGCCGTTTATTTGCCCGTGTCTGGCATTTTCATTATGTCGTAATTATGAGGGCGATAAAGCAGCGCAGCGGCAGTGTTTGCTTTTCGGTACATGAAAAGGGAAACGGAAATGGACGCCATTGTTGTCGGTTCTTGGGTTTCTGTTGTCTGTCGACGAGCACGTTGCTCGTTGTTCGGTGTTCACTCGTCGATTCCGCGCCCAGTTATCGGCGCTTCCACTTCCACTTTCAATTAATATTTTAATAAGCAGACTTTACGCCGTTTGGCAGGCGGATAACGCAATTTGGCTTTACCACGCCCCAGCACACACGAAAGCAGAAATGGCCCCGCCACGGCCTGAAACAACAGCAGCAGAAGCAGGAGCAGAAATCACAAGGGAGAGCTGGCCAATTCAAATGCGGCTTTAATAATTCAGCCATGCTCGTCTCGTATGTGGAGCCCCTGCGAGTCTTGACCAATGCGCAGGGCCTGCATGGCCCAGAGCGGAAACGGATATGCGTCCATGCATAACAATGTTGCATAGAGGAAGAGGGTGGAGCCTGCTGGACATGTGAGCAACGGCTGGCAGAGAGACCAACAGTTTCAATTAAATACAGCTTGCAGGAGCAGGAGCACTAGGAGCTTACTAACCATTACAGAACCTGTACCAGTGGCCAGTTGGGACTCTAAGACCACATCGAAAACCAAATTAGTGTCCATGGAGACACTAATTCAAGTTGGAGACTAATGGCAAATAAGGTAAAGGTTTAATTCTTAGTTACATCGCTCTTTCGTGTATTATTAAAATCAATCTTAATTTTTGAATATACCTTATTATTATCAACAATTATGTAGAATATTTCTAGCACGCGTATTCTTTTCTTTATAAATGTATTTAATAGTTGAAAATTTAATCATTGGTTTACATTTCGCATTTAAATAGTTTTGAGCTCCTCCACATTACTTAGCTTCTTCTCTGCACCAAAAACCAAAAATTCTAGTGGTGAAGTTTCTTGTTAATGCTGAAGGCCGTGTCGCGGTAGGCTGCCGGCATGTAGGCGTAGAAAGTGTCTCCTGGCGGCGAGTGGCACAGCGGGGAACGCATGGCGGAGAAGAAGACGCGTCCCACCGACATGAGTGCTTCCACGAAGAGTGTCGTCTGTTGCTCTCGCAGGTTCTTGGAGTGGGAGCGCAAACGACGGGTGTGCATTTGGCTGGGCGGTTTCACCAACGGATACTTCATGATGTCGTAGAGGATGCTCATCTGGAAAGTGTTTCGGGCATAGCTGCGTTCCCGGTCGTCCTGGGAGTAGCGTTTGCCGTAGCGCGAGCAGATCCACTCTATGAGGTACGGCACGGTGTGAACGTTAGGCATCGTGGGCAGAACATAGCGGCGATCCTTGGCAACGGCGTCGAGTCCCATTCTGAGTATTCTCTTCATCAGTGGTATATCCTCTGGGTCGAAGTGCTGTTTGCCAAGTTTCAGGCGACGATCGGCATTGAGCTGTGACGTGCGACGCAGCAATCGTTCGTATTCCTCGTGAAAGATCTTTGTATCACTGGCAAACACACGCTTGGCAGCTCTGTCCACCAAGACGTCCAGGGAGGCTTCTTCCTCGCCATTGAGAGTGGCATTCAGGAATTCGCAATCCTCGTCCAGGGCTTTTGCAAAAGCCGCCTTCAGCCTTAAGTTCTGTTCATCCAAGCGGGTGGCCTTCGATGGACCAAACAGCCGCCGATAGTTGAACTTGAATCCCTCAGCGCCTGGTACGCCGAACTCAAACAGCTTTTTGCTGTCGCTGCAACTTTGCGACTGAGGAGGAGCTTTCTCCTTTCCCTCCTCTTTCAGTTTCTCCTCCTCGATGTCGCAAAGCTTCAGAAACTGCATCAAGTTGCTGGAGCGTCCAAGGCTCTTGCCCTTGCACTGCTCCGGCAGACTCAACTCCGGCTCGTACAGCTCACAATTCGCACAATCCATCGTCTCCAGCTTGAAGTCGGGGCAGCAGTGCTGGATCAAAGGGTTCTCCCCTTCCAAGAGTCTCACATTTGTCTGCTCTGAGAAGCCATCTCCGCCGCCAGATCGATTGCCCAGACAGAAAACTTTCCCATCCACCGGTGCACCACCGCTGGCGCAGCTATAGAGCTTCTTCCTGGTCGAGGAAAGGCGCGCCCTCGCTGCCATCTCGCGGAACCGGGCCTGGCAGCAGGCGACCATCTGCTCCAGCTCGGAAATTACCTTCTTTCGTCGCCGCTCCTGTGCTCGGTTCGGTGAGGAGAGCAGCTCCTCGCACTGCTGTTTCTTCAGCGCCTCCAGCTGGACCTTCAGTGACTTCTCCATCTCGCTGATGCGTTGATGGTGGGTGCACATGGACTCCACATCGTTTGCTGGGAGCTTGGCATCGTTGAAGGAGGCGATTATGTTGCGTATCTCCTCGTAGAGAATGGACCGGGTTACGCGGTTCGCGTCGCTGCGGTCGTAGTCGCCAAACCAGCGGGACAAGAGCGGAGATGTGCGAGTGCGAGTGCCTGTGCCTCTATCTTTGGGCATGTTACTCAACAGAGCAGGACGGGCGGGAAACTGGGAGAAAAAGTTCCGAGTGGGATGCCAGGATTTGATGACTGGCGGCTCCTGGAAGTACGGCGATAGTGGTCCCATCTGGGCTGGTTTCTTTGGCTTCCAGTTCTCGCTCTCCGATCGATGTTCTCGAACCTTTCGACTCTGCTTTCGACGGGGCTCAATCTCGGCCTTGGCATTGGCCCTGTCTTTTTCGGAGGCATTCGGAAGCGGAAGCACTCGATCCAGCTCCTGAATGGTGGGGTACAGGTCCATCCAGAAGATGGCCGACATGATGATCTGCTCATTGATGTCGTAGGCTCGGCCGTGTGCCTCCGTTTTGTAGCACATCTCCATGAGAAACCAGAGAAAGGCCAGGTCGTTGCCCCTGCTCATGCGCATCAGCAGGTCCAGCGTCTTCCTAGACGGTAGTGGGCGAAGCCCCAAGACCTCAACCAGCTGCCGTGTTCGGCGCGTTGTCCTCTGCTCCATGTCATCGCAAAGCGCATCCTTCAGGGCCAGAGCGGCATCCATCTGTGGGTTAGATATGTCACGATACCATCCTGCTTCCACACAAGCCAGCTTGCCAGTGGCATTGGGTCCCAGGTGATGCTGGATTTGTCGCAGGGTTTGCAGCCCTTGCGGATCGCGACTCGTACTTCTTGCCGATCCACGGCGGGAATTTAAACTCATAATGGCAGGAGCTTCAATTTTGTCTTACCAAAAAGGAAACTATCTAAAACCAAGAGCGAAGAAATTCGAAACTGAATTTTTGCAGTGTTGTTAAACTGTTTGAAGTGTTGTCCAGCGCTTGCCAAAACTGTCTTATGCTCACGTTTTTCCCACCCCTCGAAGATAAATGATTTGGCGCCAGTCCGAGTGACGCCTGTCCTTTATCCTGCTCTCCTGTACACGGCTGCTGCTTGTGTCCTGCCATCGTCCAAAATGCTATAAATTGCTTCTCATGTGCGACTGTCGCCTAAGTGTTTGTCTTCTATTCTTGTAGCGCACAGATTTTGGTGGGTGGAGAACCACTACGAGTGTATCATTAATTTATTAGCAAAACCAAATCGCTAGGTTTGTTCTTTCACGCACGTGTTCCCCACATGTGTGTCCTTTTCGTGGAGCAGGTTCCTCACAATTAGCTCCACTCTGTCTCTGTGTCTGGGTCTGGGCTCGGGTCCACGTTCCTGTTTCCTTGTTTGTGCGAGGCTTCGTCTTTGATATGCCATATAATTTATGACTTTCTACTGTCAATTAAATTCTTTAGAAAATGACAGTTTTTCCATTTGCCGACATCGGGATCCTTACCCTGTTTTGCAGTTATATTTCGGTGGCAATGCCGGCTCCTAAGCAGCTCGAAATGATTTATGCGCCGACGGGTTGACAGTTCGGGTTCGGGAACCGCTTTTGGCTACCATCTTGTTGGGTTCCCTTTCATACTCATGTCCTCTTTTGTCTTGTGTTTGTGTGAGTGAAGAGCTTTTCGGGCTAGTTTTTGTTCCTTTTCCGTTTTCCGTGCTCTTCCACCCACCGTCCTGCGGACACGTGCCCAACGCCTGCAGAGTTCTTTATGTTAATGACCCAGACCGGCTTAGGCTCCTGCTCTTCCTGCTCTGTGTTCCATTCCCCAACCTTTCTCGGGCTCTGAGGTTGCTGCTGATGTGGCAATTGGCATGTGTTTCTTCTCATTTTGGGTAGGCTTTTCTGGCATGGCGGATGCTAGATGTTAATAATAGATATGCTCCCATTGTCAGGTGAACTTATCGCATCGGGCATATATCAGGGAAATTAAAGTGGTTCTACGGGACACAGACACAGCAGGAGTACATGGGGGCCTGAAAGCCTTTGACAAGTTTTCGTGTTTTGCCAGCCTTTTAGTTTGGATTGCGTGACCGTGGCTGTGGGGCTGTTGGTATTGCTATAGTTACCATTACTTTTACCTTTACTTTTACCACTACAGGTGCAGCCATCAGCACCCAACCATCAGGACACGAATGCCTGCCAGGACACACATCGAATGAATTTCACAAGATTTATGGCAGCTCATCCGTTATTGATGTGCCGAAAAAAATA